CAAGGTGGAATGACAACGGACCTGCAGAGATAGGGCAGCTTGGTGCCCCACCTCTGCCAAACACACTGCATTAAAGATCACAAGTTAAGAAGGGTGCTTTAAAAAGCCATTTGTTAGCAGAAACACTGCTACAGCCCAAAGACTTCTGATCTTTCTAGATTTCTGATCTGTTTTCTCAGGACAGTGAATTAACAGCATACAGGAAATAGCTGAATACTGTTAATTACTTAGCTGGATTTATCTGGTTTTGCCTTGTTTTTCAGATACCCACACAAGTGTTGCACCTCCTATGTATTAATATTCTCAGCCAGGTACCCAGCATTAATAAAGAAAACATATAAAACAGTTAATGGAATCTGCACTAAATCTGTAGATGCCATCAAGATAAAGGAGCATTTTTGTTAAAGTTTGACTTCTTTACAACACAGAAGCAGGTGGGTAATGAAAGGGCTTTCAATACACCCTCTGAGCTCTGACAACTAAATTACACACACTCCCAGGAGTGTGCAATGGCAAGAGCAAACTACACAGCTTGAACAAAGCTGGACCCAGAGCCCAGCTCATGAAACACAGATTTAAAGTAACAAAATAAAACTCCTTTGGTGGGACAGGGAATTCACCTTCCTCTTCAAAAGTTTTGGTCAAACCTACAGATTCAGAAGAGGAAGGATTTACCTTCCTCCCCAAAACTTTTGGTCAAACCTACAGATTCTTGTTTCAGCTTAGCTGAGCAGAAGGTGAGGTACTCAAAAAGTAAATTACTCTCATTTTTCATAGAAATGTAAAGCAAGCAGTCTGCTGTGGTGCAAGGCAGACCCAACCCAGGCACAGGCAAGGATCTCATGTGGGTCTGCACCTTCAGAAAACTTGGTAGGGACTACATGGCCAGACTACTTTTGCCAAAACCTCCATCGACTTGCCAGTATAGGCAAGTATTTTCCTCCTGCACAAGCAGAAAAGATTAGAATCAACAGAATTCAACAACTCAAACAAGTTCTGCTGATTCTCCAATGGCCTCAGGCCAAAATGTCACAGTGCCTCAGTTCTTCACTGAGGCTGCAGAGCATGAGCTGGAGTTAATGGACCATCAGTGTGGATCGAGGTGCAGCCCAAAGCCTAATCTGAAATCAAAAGCACTTTCAGTCAACCATCACTTTGGATATGAAGAGAGAACACACCCATCAAGATGCCTGAATTGTCAAGGTGACCCTTCTTAGGGACTACTCCCATTAAGTGATGTCAAGCACTGTGGCATGTCTTGCCTTCACTACCCTCCTGAATAAACTACAACCCCACTGAAATGCACTTTTATTGACTGTTATTATCACAGTAAAAAACTTCTCATACCAGCTGTCAGCAACCTGAATTAAAATCCACCAGTATAGCACCAATTCTTCCTACAGTTGGGAAAATTTTGAGAGACTGTGGTAAGGCAGAGTCAGAGGTAAGAAAAGAGTTAAGTCCTCAAAATCTAGAAAATTGTTAAGACTGCCCTGTGTCATTCAACTTTTCAAAAAAAAAAAGGGAAAGGCCAATGCAGAACCTGCATGTGTTTTCTACTGAGTTATTTGCTAGACTCTGATTAAGTGGGAAAGAATGGGTGTAAACTAATAAAACTTGAGGATTTCTAATTAAACCACAGGCACCATGCCAAGCATTGTTGATTTGTTGATGAACCCTGCAATGTCAGGACTCTAAGGACACAACAGGTCATTAAAGTATTCAACAGATGACTTACACCCTTTAATCAGCGCTGGGATGCCAGGTTAGGAAGAGAGAGTAAATTCAAGGGCAGAGTACAACAATTATCACCAGGAAACAAGCCCAGCATTTAGGGAAAGCGGGGAGAAGTTGTTAGCAAGTGGTTATTGCACAAGGAAAGGGCTGGATTGCAGAGCCCCACACCTGGGTCTTTTATGACAGTCATCTCCCCACTCTGAAGCTGTGAGGAAATCATGCAATATTTGCAATTTTCAGCTCTTTGCCGTCAGAAGAAGCACTGCAGCTTCCTCCGCCCGGCAGATCTCTGACCCCATCTACAACAGCATCTCACATCTTTGTCACCTCTTCACACCTACTGCCAGCTCTGCTAAACTCTGTCAAACTGCAACTGAGGCACAGCAGCCTCGTTTTTCCAAAGTGCAGCACCCAGAAACATCAGCTATGCTTGTGAACAAGGGACTGAAATAAGGGTGGTGGCAAATGCAGAATTTTAAACCCAGTTCTCAGCTCCTTTAAGGTCAGCACTTGCCTCTGACTTGAGCTTCTGCTCCAGGGGTAAAAATCTTCAGTGATTTCAGTGATTGCAAACTCCCCCTCCAAATGAACAGCTCAGTAAAAGGGCATTTCGTCTGAGGTTTCACGGAAAAACTAGAAGCAGAAGAATGGAGGTCCACAAGCTGCAGAGCCTCAAATATATTGCCCTGTGGAAGCCTCACAAGGCAGCTACTTGGCAGTTCCCCCAGACGTACAGATATTTATAGGAAAATAAAAGTGCTCATCTGAGTAGTGGAAAGAGTCATGTATGGCATTTTCATCGTGTTTTCACCCTGCACAGCTCCTCCCCAGAGTCTGGGGATCCAAAAAAAGGCAAGAGAAATAATTTAAAATACAATAGAGATCCCCAGTTTGCCCTGAAGGCTCTGCTGATGAACTATTAAAAAGCTTCTTCTAGCCAAACAAGACACTTGGAGAACAGAGCAGATTCCCCACCACATTGTTTCATACGACAGCACTGAAATTTAACCAGTGTCTGTTACAGCTGAAAATACAGCAGTCACTGAAAAAGTGATTTAATGTGCCTATTAAAGAGGAAGGCTGTAATTGGATGCAGTCCTCAGTTTGACTTCTGAACGTCCCTGAAAAAATACATCAGCTTTAAAAACCTCCAAGATTTAATGTGTAAAGAAGAGCATTTAGTCCTGAAAACACAGCAGTTTGTGCTGGCTTGTGCTGGTAAATGAGATCAGCAGCAAGTCCTCAATGAGCAAAGCTCAGGGGAAACCCTAAGTGCAGACTAAACCCAGCAGTGATTAGCAGTGCTTCTGTCACATTATTTTACTATATGCAGAAAAAAATTCAACTTTTTTGGAAAATAAAAGAGCACAGGAATTTTTTTAGTAAGTTTAAGTGAGTTCTCATTACCCTGTGTCTCCATCCTCACAGCCTGACAGAGAAAGCAGCACTGAAGCTGGGAACATTCTCCAAACAACAGATTAAACAATGTATTTAATGTCTTCTGCAATGGAATTTTACTACATAGCTGACATTCTGCACAGCATATTCATCTCTGCACAAATGATCTTACTGGGAAGGCAGCTCAGCAGAGATACCCCACTTCATTGACAGCAATTTTGGATGTAGCAGAGCAGTCTGCTTGAAATGCAGAACGCCCAATAATAAGCTACCACTTGTGAGCATGGCAAAAGTAAAGTCAGAGACCTCAAATTTATAATATTTGTGTTTATATTTTTTTGTTTTAATGGCAAAGCTGCCACCTGTCAGTTCCCGAGGTTACTGCATCAGCCCTGAGCCCAGCTCTGCTCAGCTGAGCCGAGTCCAGCTCAGAGCTGCACAAAAATAAAGCCCCATCCGAGCTGGCGTGACAACATTTACCACTGGCAGGGCTGCACAAATTCACAAACAACCCAGAGCCTGATGTGGAAAGGAGCCAGGGGAGGGGAGAGGATGGAACAAGTTCTGCAATCACTTATCCCAGCGAAGATATCCCTGGAAGATCCAGCTGCAGTTTAATTAGCCACACCACTGCTTATCAAGCAGCATCTCAGGCAGAGCATGTGGCATCAGCACGGCAGAGTCTGGCCAGCATCCATGCAGCTCTTGGGCCACACAGCTTCACTTAACACCAGTTTAGCCCGGGCTGAATCATCCCAAGTGTGCTCTGAGGACTCTTCTCACTGCCTTCACCCAAAAGAGGAAAGGCAGCCCACATTTCAGCAGAGAAATCTGGTTGGAACAAATCCGGTTCCCCACTTAGAACACCTAAACTTTGAAATCCTTGCAGTCATTTGTGATAAACTACCCTAAATCTGCAATTCCTTGGGCTATTCTGGAAATCTCCCCTCCTTGGTTTTGGGGATAAAAGCTGGAGACAATCCTGAATGGGTAAGATGCATGATATCACCTGTCAAAAGGGAATTCCCCTTTCACTCTTGTCATGCTTCACAAATGCCAGTTTTTTCTTCTCAAACTGTCTTAAGTCACACCTATAGCCATTATTCCAAATGCTATTTAGTGCCAGACTTTACAGGCTTGTAAGATCTTTCAGTTTGTCCACTCCTCTTTCCTATAAGCTTTTCCTTGGAGTAAAACTGCTCCCTACAAAACTTGCTTTTCATAACGGTTGAGAGAGAAGACAGCACTGTCCTGTAAAAGTTTTGACGAGCTCTGCCATGACACAGTAATGCTCAGGACAGTGTAATAAGGAGAGCTGAGGAAGGAACACACCATTTTCCTTGTTTGAATTTCAGAAAAAAAAAAAAAAACAAAAACACAACAGAAAAAGCAATAATTAGGTCAGCAAGTAGCACTACTTGCAAAGGGGAAAAAAAAAACTGAGGAAAAGGAGTGCCTCCTTGTTCAAATGTTTATTATTCAAAACATGCAGCAGGGTCTTAAAAACGGAGTAAAAAAAGTAGTTAAAAAAGTGTTACAGCCAGGCTGGGAATCCCAGTTCACGCTGGAGTTCAGTGTAGGGTAAAGCTAACTCCTGAAATACACCCCAGCCCTGCAAGGGGAGAATCCTACATACTGCGGCCCTCAACAAATGGGAGTTCAGCCCATGCCACCAGCTTCCAAAATACAACAAGAAACCAAAAACCAAATCAATTCTTCCGCAATAGTTCTGTTTATAAAACGTGTCCTTAAAAAAAGCACACGAAACTCACAGGCAGCCGCTTTCCCACTCGTGCACTCCCTCCGTGCCATCTGTCACACACCCAGTACAGGAGGTGGGAGCCTGCCAATACCCCAGCACTCACCAGAAGCTGTGTGCAAATCAGCTGCTATCCCCTTGCTCATCAATTCGTACTGGAAGCCTGTGATCTTCCTGCTAATGTCCTGCTGAGGAGTGGCCTCCACAAACAGACCCCCCTGGTCGTAGCCAAAGCAATACACTCTGCTGGGGCTGCGGTCTCCATCTCGGACCAAGAGTTTCAGTTCTCCAGTTTTTTCCAAATAAATATTTGCTCCTGCAGAGTCTTTGAAGGGCTTTATGCAAACAGTCAAGTGTTTGTAAGAGGCAGGTGAGATATTGGGTCGCAGGTTGACTATGAGTGCTCCCGTGGGGTACATCCACTCTATGGACCCTTCAGAACAGCGGAGGTAGACCTGTTCCACATCCTTCCTGTGAGACTCGTGGGTTAAGCCACTGGAGGAAGAAAGAAAGAGAAGGTTAGAGGAATGACAGAGCTAACAATGGGAATGTCAAACCTTTCAAAACACACAGCAAGAAATGCAGGAAGCCCAGGACATCACTGGGTGTTGGCCCATCCAGCTCTGCAGCGCAGGTCTCTCCTAACACTTCAACCTTAATATTACAGAACAATTTTAAATCATCCCCCAGAAGAAAATGTTAAACCACTAGTAATAGGCTTCAAAATTAAATAGGATATAAGCACATGATCCAAAGTAATTAAATTACTACAGGCTCAGTTACTGCCCATCAGCTGTGCTGTGCATACTGAGTAAAACACGTAGGCTCAAACTCCCTTCCTGGTGGCTCAATCCAGCATGTTCTCCAGCTTCACAGATCAGACTCCACCTTTTTCCAAGTACTTTGTTCCCCTTCCAAGTCTATATTCCCAATGGATCTGAAACTGGGAGGGATGCCAAGCTCACCCTGTAAACTGCAGCAAAAGCAATGCTCTACGTGCTCCCGATACCCTCGAGCCCAGCTGGGCAGCCCCAGTCTCCACACTGGGAGGTGGAAAGAGGAGAGGAGACACCTCTCTCCATGTCATAGCTGGGGAAGCACTGAACTGTGCTGCTTTTTTTGGTAGGGGCCTGCTCCTCCACTGCTACCCAGTATGAGGTTTAAGCTCAGTTTATCATTTTCACTGATGGGCTACAAGCAGACACAGAGCTGTGTTTAGCAAGACAGAGAGCACGTGGCCATTTACTACAGCCAAAAATGAACACCCCAACAACCATTTCACAGGGACTACAGGGATGGGATAGGAGGGCACAACAGGGTCCCAGGGCCCTGCTAAGCAGGATGAGTAGTAGTAAATCCCCATGGCTTGTTTGCCCACAGCCTAAGCTGAGGGCAGCTCTGAACAGCCCCTGCTGCCTATCACTGGTGCTGGATCAAGCCCGCCAGCTCTCTCCCCAGAGTGGCTGGAAGCTCTAATACAACACTGCACAGGGCAGGCACTGCAGCTGCAAGAACAAGCTGTGGGACGCCTGGCTGCAGTATTTGGGCTGTCAGGGAAAAATCCCTTGGTCCCAGTCTCTGTCCTGTCACAAAACTCTTAAGCAATTATGATAAAATCACTTAATCACCAAGCTTGTTTCTCCTCCTCCTATGCTCTGAGTACCTTGTTCCAAACAGAAGCACCTTTTATCCTGTGCCTGTAGAAGACAACCCAAAAACAGACTCTTTGTCACCTCATGGATTTGCTTTGCAGGATTATAGGGAAGCTTCACAACATTCCCACTTGTAGGCAGATGCATCGAGACGGGGGAAAAAATAATTTAAAAGGATTTAAGTCTGAGGTTACACAGGAAATCTGGGCCAAAAACATATTTTAGTGTAGTGCAAGTGGTGATATCAAGTCCTGGTTCCTCAGCAGAAACCTCCAAACACACAGTTCCCTATCCCAAAGACATATTTGGGTACTGAACAGGGTCTAAATTCAAGTCAGCACTTAGAAAGTAACTACAAGCAATGTGTAAAAGAAAAAAACCCAAAACATATGGTTTGCATTTACTGTTGACGTGACTCATTATTGTGAGTGTCAGTGTGACCTACTTGATAGAGGTTACACAAGGAAGCTCAGAAAGAAAAAAAGTCATATTTAATAACAATAGAGCCTCCAAACATGTGCTTTTGAAGAATCTTGAAAGCCACATCAAGAACACAGATGAAGAGGAAAGAGGGACAAGCTTTTAACCTTTAGACTCTTGCCCTCAAATTCAGTAGTATTTAACACATTCAGGAAACTTTACTTGCAAAGGGATATTTCAAGTTGACTGTAAATCCACATCTGGTCCACAAAATCAGTTTTCACCACAGCACACACATGATGCCACTCAACAGAAAACACAGAAGTCTGTTTATGTGCAAGCTGCAAATAAACAAAATTAAACAGTGTAAAAGTTATCCTTCAGCAAAGGGGCAGAAAATGATCCTCACACATCACTTGTCCCTACTCAAGACATCCAAATAAGCTGCAAAGGTTTTGCAGGACTTATACTGGCACCTTCCAGCCTGAGTGCTTAAACAGAAGGAAGACACCAGGGGCAAAACTCTGAACTCATGCAGTGAAACTTCTGTTGCAAGTGATCCCAACAACAGCGAGGCAGTGAATTTCTGCCAGAGGAGAAAAAAAAAAAAATGGTTACATTAATTTTGTTCAAACATTCATAGTGTTCAAACGAAAACAGGGTGGACTCTGAAATTATCTTCTGAAAGCCAATTTATCCCACAGGCAAGAGTGATGCCATTAGACAGATACATCAAGCACGAGTACCTGCACACATTAAGCCTTATAATAAAGGATGACTCAAAAGTTAAGCAGATTTCAAAATACATGCTCACATTATTTAACAGCAACCATCATCACCCAGTAAAACCTGTCGCTTTGCTTTCAGGCAGAATGACTTGTCCTCACACTGAGACTGTTTAACACCAGGTTTAGCTCTCATTAGCCACCCATCAGACACATCAGGTCCATGCAGTCATGGAGACCCAGGAGCCTTTTTATTCCCCTAACTCAATGGAGTGTTGGTTTTTTGATTATATGGCGAGGACGTAGGGCAGGTGTTTCATGATTAACAGTGATGGATGAGCCATCCACCCATTTTAAATGTGTGCTGTTTATTGGGACTTACTTCTGTGATAAGCTACTTCTACAGCTACTTCCTCATAGCAATCCATGAGGACATCCTGAATCACTGCATCTGTCCCCTTGCTCTTCTCCTTTTCTGGCTTCAGCCATCCCCTTATGTTTGCACTGAAAAACCTGTTACAATATCACTGCAGTGAGCTGTAATGCTGCAATGTGGAACAGGTGTTATTTAAAGAAAAAAAGAATATGAATATTCTTCTTGCTCCATCTACTTCAGTTTTTTATTTATTCCATTAAAGATGTGCTGAAGAGCCCTACAAGTACCCATGTCCTCCCTGCACCCTGCAATGAACACAGGGAACTTTTGCTCCTAAATTGGAGAATTTAATAAGAGATGACAGTCTAGAGAACATTAGGAATTCCTCAGAGCATCCACCATACCAAGAGCAAGACTGATGGACAAAAGCAGCCACATAAGAGCTGAATTCTCTACCCTACAGTCAAACATGCCAGGCCAGCATATTCTCTCAGCCTGTCACTGAAGCACTTTTGCCCAAAGCATCAAGAGGTTATTGCAGCACAAAAAAAACCTGAAGCTACAGCAAAAGTAATAACTGGACACATCATAGTGAAGTTTCTGCTTTCTCCTGGACAAAGCTTTCCTGGAAGCTCTCTGACAACCTATTTATTAAGCTGCTATTATGGCTTGTACTTAAATTGCAGGTGTCAAGCTGTGCATTGCATCAGATTTCCCTGGAAGCATCAGGGATATTCGGAGGAATCCTGGTGAAGTTCTTTATCCTACTCAGGGGTATAAGTTCATCACTTCTCCACAAGCTAATAGGGGAAAAAAAATATATCCAGAATGTTTTGGTTTTAAGACTGTTGCTTTTAATAGAGACATGTACATAAAAGTGAGAAAACACCTTCAGGTTCACTACAGAAGATGACATGACTCTCAAATGCACCAGCACAAGCCACCCTATGACTTCACTGTGGGGAAGAAAGACTATAGCTGACATTAAAGTTCATAACTTTTCCTAACAGTCAATGTTAAAATCATCACATGACTTCAAAATATTGTATTTTGCATTTTAAAGAAGTTCCTTCTAACCCATATAACTCTTAGTATCCACACTGAAATATTTAATTTCATCAAATTACTTTCTTTCCTTCTTAACTGCTGTGCTTTTAGGACAAGTCAGATTATATTGAATGGCCTTAAGACTGCCAGCATTTCTGACAACACCATCAGTAAGGCCTAAGTCAGCCTGGGTTACTTTATCCCCTCCCAAAATTCCAGCTCACCTGAACTCCAAAACTCTCCCACAAGTGAAACCACCCAGACTAAACTTTGCTCTTCCTTCCCTGTTCATCCAACAGCTTCTTCACAAAGCTGTCACCACTTCAGCTCACCAGAACAACAACAGGTGAGTAAATCCAAAGTGCCACCACCAGATTCATCCCCAACTCAGTTACAAAATTTCACTTCTCCCCACCTCAAGCATCACCCTTAGCTGATACTTAGGCATTGCTTATTCTAACCCTGCTCAGGTGAATGAGGGGTCACTACTTGCTCTAAGAAAATAAGACAAAAATAACAGCAAAACAGGGCAGAATTGCAGGGGATTGTCACCATTCTTTTAAAATCCTTGCTGCAGTACCAGGTGGTAAGGTCCAGGTAAGTACGGCAGCTGGGATGCTTTGGAATGCTTTGGTACAGCATTTTCAGGGTTTTTGGTTTGGTTTTTTTTTTGTGTTTTTTTGTTTGGTTGGTTGGTTTTTGTTTTTTTGTATGTTTGTTTTGGGGGGTGGGGGTTGTTTGGGTTTTTGGGTTTTGTTTTGGTTTGTGTAAAGAAAAATGACAAATTAGGAGTTTGCCAGAAGTTTGATCCCTGTCAAGCAAGTGGATTCTTCATCTTCAGGTGGATTCACTGCTATTAACTATGCATCAATTATCAAAAAAAAAAAAAAAAAAAA